TGCTCCGCGGGCGCATGTAAAGAGCCCGGCGGGCGCCATGGCGACCACGGGCACCGGGTTGGGAACCACGGGTCTAGACCATCCCTGATAGACATTTATCTAACCTACTCTTAAATATCTTCGGAGATGGGGATTCCATAACCTTCCTGAGCAATTTATTCCAGTGTTTGACTACCCTGACAGAAACTTTTTCGTAATGTCCACCCTAAACCTCCCTTGCTGCAGTTTAAGCCCATTGCTGCTTGTTCTATCCTCAGAGGCCATGATGAGCAAGTTTTCTCCCTCCTCCTTATGACACCCTTTTAGATACCTGAAAACAGCTACCATGTCCCTCCTCAGTCTTCTCTTTTCTAAACTAAACAAACCCAATTCTTTCAGCCTTCCTTCATAGATCATGTTCTCTAGACCTTTAATCATTCTTGTTGCTCTTCTCTGGACCCTCTCCAATTTCTCTACATCTTTCTTGAAATGCGGTGCCCAGAACTGGACACAATATTCCAACTGAGGTCTAACCAGCGCAGAGTAGAGCAGAAGAATGACTTGGTGTGTTGTGAGCAAGACACCTGTTAATGCATCCCAGAATCATCTTTGCTTTTCGTATGTTTGCGGCCCATGGTGTGGTTTTGATTTACTTGGGGCTCAACATGTGGTCTGCGGGTGGGATCCTTTGAACATGGCCTCCACTGGGAACACACTCCACAACAGCGAGGCATCTCCCAGGCAGGGTGAGCATTGAAAGATGCAAATGGATGTGCTGCTGCAACAGATGGGTACAGAATGTCTTCCTTTCTAGCCCCAGGGAAGAGGTGCCAGAAGTGCCAGGGCATTGTGGGAAGTGCTTTGTATTCAAGCCCGTCTGTGTGAATGATGCTATTTGCATATATTTGCATATACTTGCAACTGCACTTAAGTTGCGGCCCTCGGCATGTGCTGTGAGTATCATTGTGGCCCCCGGGGCTTCCAAAGTTGAGTAGCCCTGCATTAGAGCAATATTAATAATAACAGCTAGTCAATCACATTGGCTAATCCTATCCTCGAGAACAGGATTTAAGCTTTTAATGCACAGATTTCGAAATGCTTCATTTTTACTGGGTCTGATCCACATGTAATGGATGTTTTCTGGTTTCTTTTATAACTCTGAATGCTAAAAGTTGGCACCTTATAGGGATTCTGACTTTGGAAAAAGTAGGGCCTGATTGCAAGAGACAGAAAGCACCTACAGCACCTGAATCCTCCAAGAGTCATGCTCCCATTTTGCTAGTACAGATGCTATGATGTGGTAACACTTGATCCTGTTAACTTTTTAAATAGTGACAACTGTATCTGAGTCATGTTAGCCCATCTATCAATAGCATTCACTATAGTGATGGGGCCATATAAGTAATTGACTAGACAAACATCAGTAATTTGTGAAGTGTTAGAGACAGGGACAATTGAGCATTTAATTCCAAGTTGGCAGGCCTCTCTGTTGCACAACTCTTAAGCCAGAGCTTCCCTTTCTAGTTAAGAGGCTAAAGCACTAGGACCTGGCCATCTCCTGTACCTATTGATAAATAAGAAATAGAAAAGGTTTTATTGTAACATTTTAATATAAAATGTTTCCTTTGCATTTAGAGTTTACAAAAGCTCTCTCATAGATTGATCACTGGCTAAAGGACAGGAAACAAAGGATAGGGTAAACAGTGAGGTGGCAAAATTTGCAGATGATACCAAACTGCTCAAGATAGTTAAGACCAAAGCAGACTGTGAAGAGCTTCAAAAAGATCTCACCAAACTAAATGATTGGGCTACAAAATGGAAAATGAAATTTAATGCTGGTAAATGTAAAGTAATGCACATTGGAAAAAATAATCCCAACTATATATACAACATGATGGGGATTAATTTAGCTATAACTACTCGAGAGAGAGATCTTGGAGTCACTGTGGATAACATCCACTCAATGTGCAGCGGCAGTCAAAAAAGCAAACAGAATGTTAGGAATATTTAAAAAGGGATCAAGAATAAGACAGAGAGCACCTTATTGCCTCTATATAAAACCATGGTATGCCCACATCTAGAATACTGTGTACAGATGTGGTTACCTCATCTCTAAAAAAGATATATTGGCATTGGAAAAGGTTCAGAAAAGGACAACAAACACAACTAGTGAAAACCTGGAGAAAATCCTTCCTTTAAAACACATGCTCTTCCCAACTTCCAGCTGGTTTCTTTAATTTTTATTCTGGCATTGTCACAATTAATGTAGTAAATTTAAGCAACAACCATATAGGATATGCAAGAAGTTAAGCATCCGTTCAGGCTGTAAGGGTGCGTCTATACTGCACTGTAACTTGAAATAAGATATGCAATTTGAGCTATGCAAATTGCATGTCTTATTTCGATGCTTATTTTGCCAAATGATAGCTTATTTTGTCATTTGGCGCTGTCCACACAGCACCAAATTTTGAAATAAAGCACTATTCCAAAACGTCCCTTACTCCTCATGTAATGAGGTTTACAGGGATGTTGGAATAGTGAGCCCAAAATAACTGGCTTGCTGTGAAGATAAGGGATAGCTATTTCGGGATACTCCGGTATCCTGAAATATTGTTGTAGCGTAGCTGTACCCTGAAAGAACCATAATAAATATGGAAATCAAACCAACACAGAGGATACGTCTACACAGAATGCTTATTTCAACATAAGCTATTTTGGAATTTTTTCCCGAAATAGTTTATTTCAAAATAGCATATCTATGCTACAAGGAAGCCTCAAAATTAGTCCGAGGCAGGCTTCCCTAATGTGGACATTGTACCTCAACTTAGAGACTCAGCAGGCACTGGGGAGTAATTACTTAGAATGGTCATGGGAGGGAGCTATTTTGAAATAGCAGCAGTGGAGAGTCTACACTACTGCTATTCTAGACTAGCTATTTTGGAATAAGCGTTAATCCTCGTGGAATGAGGTTTTGATCTGTCCACAGACAAAAATCTGGGCAATGGCCTGGATTTCTTTTTCTTTTTTGGAGCGGGTGGAGCAGTCCAAGAACTTATTGGATAGTCTGTGTCCCGCTGTGTTATTTTCCCAACATATATCTGGATAGTTGAAGTCCCCCATCACCACCAAATCTTGGGCTTTGGATGATATTGTTAGTTGTTCAAAAAGAGCCTGATCCACTTCTTCCACCTGGGTAGGTGACCTGTAGTATACGCCTAGTGGGTATGTCTACACTACAAAGTTAATTCGAACTAACGGACGTTAGTTCAAACTAACTTTAATAGGCACTACACTAGCGCTCCGCTAGTTCGAATTTAATTCGAACTAGCGGAGCGCTTAGTTCGAACTAGGAAAACCTCATTTTACGAGGATTAAGCCTAGTCCGAACTAGCTAGTTCGAATTAAGGGGTGGTAGCCCCTTAATTCTAACTAGGGGGAGGCTAGCCCTCCCCAGCTTTCCCTGGTGGCCACTCTGGCCAACACCAGGGAAACTCGTCAGCCCTCCTCCCGGACACGGACCCCTTAAAGGGGCACGGGCTGGCTACGGTGCCCGTGCCAGGTGCAAGCCTGCCAGCACCCAGCCAGCAGACCCTGCACCTCGCACGGATCGAGCCACCCACCCGATGCCCCCCAGCCCTCCCC